TCCTCCATTCGAATCAATTATTTGGAGGGTATGGATTCGATCGACATGAATCGATTGACATGAATCGATCGACACCGATTCGATCGAGAAATTATTAAAAAACCGGTGTCGATTCGATCGACGTGAATCGATCGAAAAACGAAAACGTGAATCGATCGACAGTTAATTTAAAAACACCCATGTCAATTCGATCGATATGAATGGATCGAGAAATGGAAATGTGAATCGATCGACGTGAATCGATCGAAACCGATTCGATCGACAACCGTGAATCGATCGAAACCGATTCGATCGACAACCGTGAATTGATCGACAAACCTGTGAATCGATTGACAAACCCGTGAATCGATCGACAAACCCATGAGTCCAGCGACAAGCCCGTGAATCGATCGACAAACCCATGAGTCCAGCGACAAGCCCGTGAATGGATCGACAAAAGCCGCGAGTCGATCGACAAACCCGTGAATGGATCGACAAAAGTCGTGAATGAATCGACAAACCCGTGAATGGATCGACAAACCCGTGAATTCATCGACAAGCCCGTGAATCGATCGAATTTTGTCGATGAAATCGATGGATTCACGTTTTCATTTTTCAATCAATTGATGTCGATAGATTCACGTTTTCATTTTTCAATCGATTCATGACATCGATTCACGTTTTCATTTTTCAATCGATTCATGCCGATCGAATCCATACTCTCCCAATTGTTTTACATACATTTACATGGAGGAAAAACAATATTGCCGACTTTTAAGAATGATCACCGGTCATATCAGGTTATCGTGGGTAAATTTATTAAACGTCTCGTTGCGTTATAACAGGCTGAACGGATGAAACGAAACCGCAGGAATTAAGAATTAAAATGGTGGAGAAATCGGGGTGCGTGGGACTGCGGCTTTGAAGGCGAAGAGGCAGTCCGAACGTCGTATACCCCTCCATGCGCAGCGCACGCAACTGATGCGATGAGGTCAACCGTTCGCTTTGACCGGCCTGCCTAATACATGAGCGGGCTTTGCTCGCATGGATACAGGGTGCTCCTCAAATAGAGATGTACTTTGCTCATTTGAAAAGGTCACAGGCAAATAATCAAATCCTTGATTTTGTCAAATGTCGAGGCCAAGTTTCAAACATTCACGCTCAGATTGAAATTCTGATTGTTCACCTAATTTTGGACAAAATAATTATTTGTTCTCATTAGGCGAATTTTCGCGACTGGATTCTGTTGAGTTTTTGACAAACTGCCAGTCCCCGTTTAGAACTAATTTAAATTCCCTCCGTACGATGTATATGTACAATGGAGCGAATCAGTCAGAGAAGTCGGACAAAATAGGTAAACTTTAAAAGGTCATACCTTCATTAATACAGCGTGTAAAGTTTACAAGTGATTTCATTGGGTTTCTTGTAAATCTTATTAAAGATACGCCCTTTATAATTTATTAAATTACGAAATAACCATCAATATTTGAAGTTTTACTCCATTTCACATCCGTTCTTTTCGAAAGGCTCATTCTAAAATGTGCGACGGTGCGCATGTATACCACAATCAGCATTAGTGAGTAGTGGTAAGTAGTGGTGGGGTTAGTTAGTAGTAGTAGTAGTAATAGTAGTAGTAGTATTAGTAGTAGTAGTATTAGTAGTAGTAGTAGTAGTAGTAGTAATAGTAGTAGTAGTAGTAGTAGTAGTAGTAGTAGTAGTAGTAGTAGTAGTAGTAGTAGTAGTAGTAGTAGTAGTAGTAGTATTAGTAGTAGTAGTAGTAGTAATAGTAGTAGTAGTAGTAGTAGTAGTAGTAGTAGTAGTAGTAGTAATAGTAATAGTAGTAGTGGTGGTAGTAGTAGTAGTGGTGGTGGTAGTAGTAGTAGTAGTAGTTCAATAGTAGTAAGTAGTTAGTAGTTCGGCAATTTCGGCATTTAGCAATCACTACCATATTCAAAATTCTCACCCACCTCAGGAGGTGGGTCGAAAATTATATGGATGAAAACGTTGGCCAATAATTCATCAAGCAACTGAATTTAGTTCTTGACTGTAACGAAGCGTTTTTATCCTTTGGTTTGCACCCTTTCGATAGTGTAGATCTGGTTGGAGATAGGCGAAATCCACTCCCGGAAACTCGCCTATAGACAGAGATTATTTTCAAAAACTTTTAAAGTAATGTCAACCCACCGCCTCATCCGCACGGCTAAAAACAACGTAAGCAACAAAAAACAAACGACAAAATATTTAATGATCCTCTGTAGCTCATTCTTTTTTTTAAAAAAAATGCTGGCTCACTATCGACGACCGCGAATATTGATATTCCGCGCATCGGCCATCGGTCAGTGACGAGCGGACGCGTGAAATAAATATGACCAAAGGCGTGGCGTTCTTTGCGATAAATCGATTGATCCTCCAATTTAAACCTATGGAAAAGGATCGATAGACAGGGTGTCCGCAACGAACACCTAAATGATCGATCCTTTACCATAGCTTCAAACGGTGAAATATCGATGATCGACCATTCACGCCTCGATACTGATAATGCTACCACTACGCTGGCAGGTTACCGGTAATAATTAGCTGGAATTGGAGAGGGCGCCTGCCTCGCGGCACGTGCGTCGTGTTGGTAAAACAAGAGGACGCTCCGCCACGCCATCCACCCTGGTTAGCGCACCCCCGGCCGCCAGGGGGACAGCCGTGTATGGGGGGGGGGGCAAATTATGATTTGACCACGTGACCAGGTATCTAATTGCCCGTAAACCACGCGGCCCACCGTCCACCTACTTCCGCATTCACCGCCTCCCTCGGCCTTGCTTCCCTTTGCCCACCTCGGTGACATCCGTGTGCAATAATTTAGTGCCCCCGATCAAGGAAGAGCTCCTTGTTGGCCTTCGGACGTTGTCAAATTGGACCTCGTTAAACAGAAAGGAACCAAGCCACATCAGCTATTGCCAAATTCAATCAGGCAATTTAATTTTGCCCATAAAAACGGTTGTGCGGATTTTAGTGCACATTTCAGTGAATTTTCTCCATAGTACGAGGCAAATTCCTTAAAATTTTCAAAGGACTTTGCACAAACATTATCTCGTAAAAAATTAAATTGCCCCCTTAAATTTGGCAATAGCTGATGTGGCTTGGTTCCTTTCTGTTAAACGCGGTCCAATTATCTTTGACGAATCACGATTTTTCAGGAAAATTTGTGAATATTTTTTTTTTTTGTATAATATTTTTTACCGAGGAAATTTGCAAATATTCGAGTACTCATATGACGTTTTTCCTAAGCAAGGTCCACAGCGAAGGGGGAGGGGATGGAAGTTGCTAGCCCGGCGGCATAGGCACGCGAAGCACGCTTTTGAGCAAGATGCAGATTGGCAGAGAGGGACCGTTGAGCTGGTTTAAGGGGCATGATACCACTATTCGATCACGCGGGAGCGCATGTTGCCTGCACTAATAATTGAAGGCGAACAGACATTGCGTTAATGTAATCTTTTCCCGTTTAGTAAAGAGCTATTTTTTTATGTGTTATGAGTGAGCTTGGAATATCACGATGATACCACGATTCCATATCTTTGTCTTTTCTTCATTCTCGTTTCATCGTCCTTTTACTTCCTTCGTTCTCATTTTTGATGTATTTTTATTCTTTCCCTTTTCCTCATCTTTTTTCTCTCCATTTTCTTTAATTGTCTTTCCTTTTTTCCTATGCCTCGTCTACTTCTTCTTTCGTCCATCTTTCTCATACTTTCTTCCTCGCTTTTTTCCCTCTCTTCTCACTATCTTCTAGATTCTGATCCGTCCTCTCGTATCCTCCTTTCTCCTTCACCTTCTTTTCTTTATCTTCTTGCTATTTTCTTTTAAGAAATAGGAGAAGCGACTTTTCCCTCCTCTGTTCTTCTTCTTTTTCTTTTGCTTTTTCTTCCCTTTATTCTCTTGTTTTATTTTCCTTTCTTCCATCTCCTTCTCTCTCATTCATCAAGAGTTTAAGAAATCATATTTCAATGATTCTGGCTTGGGTGAACACCTATGAAAAGGACATGCACATATTCCATACAGTTTTGGAAGGAGTTGGAATGAAGAAAAATTACAGAGAACACAGGACAGCTAACTTACAATTCCAAAAATAATTAGCACCACGCCACGGCACTTACTACTATGTAAGGACGTTAAACTGTAAATAGCCCCCGAGTTACTGTCAGAAGCGAGTTTTCCATTCTTTTCCGAGAACATTCGAGACGCTCAGTTCATATTCAAATTGCTCTGTGATTTACTCCCGGCTTCAACACTTTTTACCCTTTTTAATTTAGTCCTAGAAAAGGGACTTGAAGTAAAGGGGTTGCGTTAAACCTAATCACATCTCAAGGTAAACAGAGATTAGTTCCGCATCGCTCCCGCAAAAAAACACGCAAAACATAGAAATCGTTTTTAATGGTACTCTTCGCGGCAAGTAAGGCGGAACCAATTTTTATGGGCGGTTGAAAATGGTAAGATCAAAGCAAACCACTACACCCGTGTCTTCATCTCCTTCTTTTGATCAACCGTAGTAAAGTTGACAGTCAAAACATCTTGCATCATTGAATATATGGGAACTTTTCATGGGGAAAAAAACTATAATTTATCCCCGGGGTACTAAATTCAAACGTGCCTGGCAGCATGTACATTAGGGGCAGATGTATGGAAGAGCTTTCGGATACATCACTTCCAAATCAAGAACTGCGCTGCACAGTAGTCTTGAAAGCCTCCTACGCGCTTTTACTGAAGAAGTCCTCAATTTATAAGTTAGGGTCCTGCGTTTATCATTCTTAAGGTTGTCTTTAGTCCCTAATTTAATTGTATTTACTTAAGTTTGAAAAACATGCCATATCACCATTACAAGGATCCTCGTCATCCATACTAGGCCATCTCGTCATGAGAACAAGAATCTTGTCAGTTACATGGTGTCTAGTAATGATTACACAACTCTGCTTCTCATGACAAGGCAGTCTGCAACTGTAAAATGGATCAATACTTTAGAGTCTCTATGTCTATAAATGACAGGAAAAGGGAAGAAAAATGAATGTGAAGATGAAAAGGCTGTCTCATTCGCAGTTTACTCAGAGGTCAAAGTTGTTCCGGCTCTCAAAGTGGTTTGTGCAATCAGCTAAAACCTTGCAATGGGTTGGGTAACAGTAGCAACGGAAGCTGGCTTCGCTCCATGGCTGTGTGCTTTATAACATTCACAAGAATAACGCATACCTACATTGGACTGCATTCTGCAATTTGGACCTATAAATTCTGGCTCATCTGAAAAAACACTTAGGTGCATAGGGAAACGAATGGCACATACGTTGTTTTTAAACCGGGCCAGAATTTATAGGTCCAAATTGCAAGATGCAGTCCAATTCGTCGTTCCCGTACGAAAGAACGTAACCACATTTCAATGTTGCCAAATCTCCCCACGCAAATTGCATTTTCAGCAACGAAATCCAGGGCGTTTCTCACTGAACATTTCACCGATTTTTTCTCTGCTTTTGCGCAAAAATCAGAAAAATGTTGGACCGAAATTGCACAGGTAGGTATATTCTGGTAAAAAATTGAATTGCGTTTCAGTCAAATTTGCAACCTTGGAACGAAGTTACATTCCTCCGCGCGGGAAACGACGAATTGGACGTATTTCTGTCAAACGGAACTATGTGCATTATGACATAAGCCGTGTTATGCATATATTCTCATGAGCTTCAGGGCTCATGTCTTTATGCACATAGTCCCGTTTGGCAGAAATACGTCCAATTGTGAGTTATGAAGTAAGCTATACTTGGAAAGTGTGAGTCCGCAACCACTGATCTAGTTTTCGGTTCAAGTTTTCGGAGACGTTCCTTCGCGTAGAGAATTAAAATCACGACAGTTTCTAAGAATTAGCATTTAGTAGATTTCCACTTAAAATGAAGAATGACAACGAGTCTGCAATGTCGGAAACCGAGATACGTGGTTGCGTACTTACAGCGTTGACTTGGAGTACGTTAGACCTTTACTGCTGTGCTAAGAAAAAACGCCGTATGGACCTTCAGACGTTGCCACATTTCCTTCAATTAAGACCTAATTTACCGGGAAAATTTTGAATGTTTTCCTTCAATTTTTTCAGACAATTTTGTTCGCAATTTTGTCTACAATCCGTCTGAAAGTTTCATGAAAAAATACGCACAATCTCTCTCAAAAACAGATGTTTTATCTGGAGCGATTTGGCAACTCTCGAATGTTCTTACGGCGTTCTTCCTTAACACGGCAGTTTAGAGGTTACGCGTGTACCGTAGCCGCAGTCGCAACGAGCCCGTTGAGCTTCGCATCTGTGCAAACACGCACCACATTTCTATACCGAAACCATGGAGCACGCAGCTGCCGCCCTCTTCCTCTCACCTCTCGCCTCACCTATACCGCCGTGCTAAGGAAGAACGCCGTATGAACCTTCAGGCGTTGCCGAATTTCCTTTGATGAAACAAGATTCTCCTGGTAAACTTATGAATATTTTTCTTCCAATTTTTCAGAGAATTTTGTTCATATTTTGATCTAAAGTTCCTAAAAATTTCAAGGAAAAATATCCATAATTTCCTTCAAAAATAAACATTTCATCGAAGGAAATTTGGCAAGTCTGGAATGTTCATACGGCGTTCTTCCTCAGCACGGGTATAGTATCGAGAGCTGCGAACATGACTCGAAAAGAGGCACCCATTAGTAACTACTCAATGAAAACAATAAGAATTCTTACGTTACGTGCATGCTACGTACAAAAATACCTATGCCATCAGAGTCTGTGTACTTTAATCATTTCATTAGATTAATTCCAAGGGTGAAACTTAGGGTCGCCTGTACTGCCGTGTTGAGGAAGAACATCGTGGAAGCTCTTAGGCATTGTCAAATTTCCCTTGATAAAGTGTGAATTTTAAGTGAAATTCGTGAATTTTTAGGGAAATTCGTGAATTTTTAAGGGAAATTTGTGAATTTTTTTCTTCAGATTTGTCCGGGTATTTTATTCGCACTCTAGAGTATCTGAAAATTTCAACTAAATATTTCACAAATTTCCTCAAAAATAAATATTTTATCACGAGAAATCTGGCAATCGTCGAATTTGCATACGGCGTGTTTCCTTGCATTTGCATTGCGCGGAGGGTATAGTTTTCGATTAGTCGATCGCCGATCAGTTCTCTATGTAAGACCGACAGACAAGCACCCAACTTCATTAAATTTTACCCTCATGAAACTATAATACCGCGTATCTCGATCGGGCTAACCGGGCGTAAAGAAAATTCAGTGAAATTCTCGGACAGCCTCGTAGTACAATTTTTCCGCAAAAAAATAAAATGGCGGCGGAAATTTTTAAACGTTGCATGGCGCTTGTGATACTTAGGCCAGAAAGTGCACTGAAAAAAAATTCTCGGCGTTTTTACCAAGGTCCGTTGGCACCTTTACCATCTCACTGTTTTTTACCAATTATTGGTAATTTTACCAATACAGACTAGTAAGCTTACCTAAAAACCGGTATTTCTACTGTTTTTTTCAGGTAAGAATACCACTTTTATTGGTAATCAATTCCCGGTAACTTTCCCATTTTATCTCGGTAATTCTACCACAGTCGATGAAAAATATTGGCGTTTTTACCGAGGTCCAGTAAAATTACCGAGAAAGTTCAATAATTTTACCGAGATTTCTCGGTACAATTACCATTCCATCAATAGTAATTTTACCAAGAAAAAACTGGGATCAAGAAGAACCCTGAATCCTTGGTAATTTTACCCTTCTTTAGTAAATACACCGAGATTTTCTTTTCAGTGCGGACGTAAAGAAAATCCAGTGAAATTCTCGGACAGCCGCGTTGCACAATTTTTCCGTAAAAAAATAAAATGGCGGCGGAAATTTTGAAACCACGCATGGCGCTTGTGATACTTCGGCCGGAAGGTGGCGATACTCCGGTGTGCAGGAACATCGCGTATCGGGAAAAGCGCACCGAAGTCGCATCATACTCGAGAGCGAATCACACAGGTGACTCCGGTTGAAAAATCGCGAGGACGATATTAAAATCATGCCGCGCGAGTTCTCGGCAAATAGCGCCACTTCAATTTCTTGTTTAATTTATGAAGTAGACGAAAACACGCTTCCCCGAACACGACAAAAGAGAGAAAGGGGGGAGAGGGCGGGGGGGAGCGAAGAGACAGATGAAGAGATGGAAGATACACCCAGAGATTGAATAATGCCACCCCTAAGGATATGCATACCACACGACTTGCTTTTTGATATAGACAAGATGCGTTTAATAGCATTTGTCTATCGATCGAAACGTTAGGAGCCTGAGGAGGTGTTGTCAGAATCCTGGCAAAAAGCACGCATTTACTGCCGCGCTTAGGGTAAACGCCGTATGATAACTTGGATGTTGCCAAACGTCTTCTGAATACATATTTATTTTTGAGATTATTTATGTGTATTTTATCTCTAAATTTTCAGACACTTCAGATTAAATCGCGTGCAACATTCAGTGAAAAATCGGCGACAAAATATTCACGAGTTTCCCTGAAAATTCGTATTTAACCGGTGGGAAATTTAACAACTCCTGAAGGTTCGCACGGCGTTCTTCAGCGGGGCGGGAGAGGGTTTAAGAAAGTAGTGGTTTAACGTTCAAAGCGGCAACCGTGTCCCGGTAACGAGATGAAGTGGGGAGGGGGGCGGGGAGAGAGCGAGAGAGCAGTCGCGCGAGTGCGGGAGGAGAGAGAGAGACACGAGATCAAATATTTGCCCAGGAGAGTTTGCTCGCTCAAAATGAAAAGCACACACGTTGAGAAAAGCGGGAGGAAGCTTAAAGAACGGCTAACATATTAACAAGGCATTACGCCCCCCCCCTCAGTTCCTCCCTCCCCTCCCACCGCCCGCCCGCACGGGCGCGGCGCTGTATCGTATTAATCAAATTTAATATTTGACATCAAACATGATATTAGTTTTAATTTGCCGGTAAGTTAAAGACTTAATAATAATTAGTGAGAGCCCTGGTTGCTTGACGGATCCGGGATAATCCTGCCGGTGTGTTGCGTTATTTGGCTTTGAAGGAGTTCGCGATTTTGCGCCCTGATACTCGGTACACCGACGATATCAATAATCTGCCTGATAGAAAACCGTTCGAGATGGATCTTTGGACAAGGTACGAATATCAGCATTCTGATATATTTTTCATCTTTGAAATCTCTCGTAGGACACATTTAAGCACTTAAAAAGCTCATATTAATTCAAAACTAAGATAATAACTAGGCCTGGACCGGTCATTGGCCCAATATCGATGGTAAAAGTGCGGAGTTGCGTATCTCGATTTTTGCATTGTGTTTGGCGCAATGCGTGAAGTATTCCTACCGTCTTGTAGGCGCTAATGTGCGTATGGACTAAAATTTCAGGATCGAATAGAAAATTCCGTAATTAGGAGTGAAATGCATCTGGCCCCATGTAAGATGACGCACTGAGTCTGATTTTCTGGTCCTAATGCGTCGGAAGTTTTTTGGATCTTACAACTGGCGATTAAGAGAGTAACTTTTCGAGAACGGTCAAAAACACTCGTTTCTCCGCTAAGGAAGCTCTGGTGAGTCTCGATTTTAAAGGCCCAATCGATTCTACGCAAGATGAGTAATTTTCTCGAAATTTTTTTCCTCGTCCAAAATCGAGAAAAAATGCGCTAACTGACGAACTGAGTTGATTGCGGCACTTTGATGCAACAATTCGTGTTCCACGAATGTGTGTGTTGCCCATTGAAAAATTGAAGGCGTTCCGATTTTTCTCACTTTTTCAAAATCCACGAGACTTGTCAGGTATAGCACTCGAATAAGAGAATACATTGACGCGAAACTACAGAAATTCATATCGATGGTGAAAGTGCAGAAGTGCGTATCTCAATTTTTTTTTTTACATTTTTGAGTTGGCTGCATAAACGTGTTGTTAAAGATGTCGTCTATTTGCCAGCAAGAGGCTATAATCGAAAAAAATTTGGATGTTACCTAAAACCGTAGAACTTTTTTCGCGTATCTCAGGCTGAAGTCCAGGAATGCGTATTCCGTTCTGGCCCGATAATTTGACTCGGCGCGCCTTGCGCGCAACGCGCGCTCCTCAGCGTTCCCCGCCA